TAACTGATTCCTTAAATATTGATTTCTGCTGTTTAGAAGATTATATCAATTTTTTTGTTTTGCTATAGCTATATATTTGATTTCCACTTAAATGTTTGGGCATCCACCCTCAACAGCACAAGTCAGAGGTGTGGCACAGGGTGTCATTATTAAAAGTGTGTTTTGTCTTCAGGGAAATCAAGAAACCCAGTCTTTTTAGGGAGGGATTATTAAAGATTTGGTACTCTTTGTTATTCTAAAATAACTATTGAGTTTGAACTGAAAACATAGAAGCCTAAAGACCAGCTGGAGAAGTTGAAGGGGGGCTTCTCTCACCACCTCAGTGGCTTTAGTGTCAAGGATTGGGGACAGAGCAGTTGGGAGTGTGGTTATCAGCTGTCAGGAGGCACCTGTTGTGTGGATTTATGGCACAAGCTATGGGTGCTAATTTGTTTCTTGTGAGGCTTTGAGACCAACTCCTCAGGCATCTGAAATGGCAGAGAATCTATTTTCCAAAGGCAGCCAATCACATGTAAGTAAAAGTTTTTGTCAGGTTTCTAAGTTGTTTAATTTCATTTAAAGTTTTGCATTCAGTAAGCTACAGCCCTGGTTACAGAATTAACCTGAACTATTCCCGTTTATTAAGGTTAGCGGAGTTTACTTGCTGTGCACTAAACAAGATAGATTTGCATTCTTTAGCTAAAACGCAGTTCAATTCTGCAAGATCATAGCTTTAATAAATGGGGTTACAATAAGCTAAGCTTAGTTCCTCAAATCCCTCTATCATTCCTATATAAGTGATTGCTGAGATTTTATAAAGTCTAAAACTAAATATGACTCACATGTGTTTTGTTCAGAGGAGTGATGGCAGTGTTTAATTGTATTTGGAGTTAAGCTTTATAGGCTTACCTTTGTGGTCTCTACTTAAATATCTACCTAAAAATCCCAGTTTTAAAGTAAATTCCAAAGTCTTATGATAATTAGTCTGAGCCATTTCCTTGTCTCACAGAGCAAAACTTCCCAATATTGTTTCTGGATTTTTACTTTAATGAAATCTCAAAGTGATGGATGGACCTGTGAAATATGTGTCCATCTATATGTGATTCAAAACTGAATAGACCAGCAATTTGACTCTAATCCTTCCACAACGTATGTGCTAGCTTGGAAATGGTATATATAAATCTTATAAATTCAGTAGGAATGAAATGAGGTATCCCTCTGTCTATCTATTCCATCTTGTAATGAAATGGAAGCCCTTTAGTCATCAATAATTCTTGTGTCATTTGGAGAAACATCAGTTCCAATAGTTCATATACAATGGTTCATACACATAATTTAAAAATACTCATAGTGTTCAAAAATAAAAGACATTTTAGACATATCATTAAGAATAATTATATTTTTAAATAAAAAGATTCAGTGCTAAAAGCAATAGGTTACTTAGAAATTCATTGACATGGGAAATGAAGTGTTTCCATCAACCAAGACAAGAGAGTTCTAGTTCATTCAGTGACCATTTTCCTAACAATAAGCAAAATGTACTGCCTGCCTTCCTAGTTCCTGGGCTAGAGTGGGATGAGACAACATGATCAAACAGAAAGTAACTAAGTGAAGAAATGAGATTGTGGAAAGTGTTAACTGATCCTAAGGTGTGGGAGAGGTGGTCTGGTTTGTAGAGGATGAAGAGAAGACCACCACCCAATATTCTTCAGCCTGTAGTATTTAAAAGAGATTGATATTTTTGGATTACTTCAGGAAGAAGGATCAGATCGTAAAACTGGTTAGAATTGTCAAATTCAGAGAAATAGAAATTGTCAAGAGTGAAAAAGAGAAGAATGTTCTAGGCAGAAAACAGTACAATATGCAACCCCCTGAAGTCTATGTGTAGCACCATAAAAGAAGTAGTGGCACAGCGGCACGTTTCAGTCTGGGTGTACTGATCAAATCAGGTGTACTGGTTAAATGTGTAATTAGTCCTCCATCTCTTTCTCATTTCCTCATACTGGAACCTTCAGACTCCTCCCTCTAGTGATTCATAAAATATATGTAATAGCTGCATTCGTCGGTTTTTCTTTGCTGTAAGAAAATACCTGAGATAATTATCATAATAAGAGCATGGGTCTACTTTGGTTTCCATGATCAGTTGGGGCCTCATTCTTGACCCTGTATCATGGCAACAGATCATAGGGAGGGTGGAGGAAACTTCTGACCTCATGCTTCCTGGCTAGGAAGCAAAAAGAAAGGAAGGGGGGTATGTGTCTGGGATCCCAATATCCTCCTCAAGGTCATGTTCCCAATGACCTAACTTTGTTCCACTAAAGCTCTATCTCCTAACTTTTCATGACCTCCCACTAGTGCTATGGGGCTGTAATCCAAGCCTTTACCATGCAAGCCTTTGGAAGATACTCAATATCCAAAATATACACAGGCTATATGAGCTCTAACACCCCCCACATGTTACAGAACACTAGAACTTATTCCTTGTATCCGTGTTGTGGCACCATTACCCATCATACTCCACACCCCACTCACCCACCCTTCTTAGCCTCTACTTAACAGTACATTTTTTTAATGTTTAAAAGAGATAGAAATGATTACTACCCTGATCTAATCACTGCACTTGAGTCAAATCATCACACATATGTAGCAAATTATCACACTGGACTCTGGGAACATGAGACTAAAATAATTTTAAAAGGAAGTGTAGAGCTATAAAATGGTAGGTGTTCAGATGGGCAAGGAATGTCTTGGGATAACATGACAAGAAGTTTGAGAAAAAAACCTGTGCTCTTGGAACCACAGTGTAATACAGGAATACAGCATAAAGTCATCCTCATGCAATAATTTCCTTAGAAATCAGATGTTTTCTAAGAAAATCAGAAATATTGACAGTAGTATAAAAGAATTGAGGACATTTCTAGTTTCTGGAATAAATTACTGCAACTAGTATATTAATACAGTTGAAGAGCATGAGAGACAGAGATCCACTAAGTGCACAATTATATGGAGGAATCAAGGCGTGAGAGCCGGGGGCTGGCAGAGAGGAGCTGGCTGCAGAGCTGGACAGCAAGAAATGGTGAGAGGGTGAGAGAAAGGGAGCCCAGACAAAGGTGTCAGGAGGAGTGAAGGTGACAGATCCTCCTAGCTATCTGATGTCTGGCTTGACCCCTAAGTGAGTGGATAAGAGGGCCATGGGATAATCAGGGTAGGTGAAGATGAACCTGGAAATTCACGAAGACAGTTTAGCATAGTTTGCGCTGTAGCTGTAGGGAAATGGAGCAAATGAGAGAGAACCACAGCAGACTTCAGGCAGGTGAGTGTCTGGCAGTGGACGTGCAGGGTAAACTTGGGCATACGTGTGTGTATCATAGGCTAGCTCACTTGAATCTCGGTGGAGTCACAGGTGAGAATTTACAGCATTCCATGCAACTCTCCAGATTAGGAAACCGAGGACCACAGAAAGCCAAGCACCAGATAAGAAATGAAATGAGTGAGCCTTTCATTCCAGGTCTGAGAAGCCTTCCAGCCCATGGACTCTTCTCTCCAGAACTGGGATGACCCATAGTGCAGGAGATAATTATGGATAGTAAACTCATAGTGTCAAAATGTAGAATAAAGTTCTTTCTTGAACATACAAAAAAAATATCCTGATCTCTAACCTTATATATTTAATACTTAAAATATTAATCAAAAAAGTAAGCATGGGGTATAGGGAGCTGTTAGAGAGATGGCTCAGTGGTTAAGAGCACTGGCTGCTCTTTCAGAAGACTCAAGTTCAGTTCCCAAATGGTAGTTAGGTTGGGGGCTATTATAGGAAATATTACAATGAATGCTTCCTTACAAATGTATTTTGGCTTCTTGGGAAGACTGACAGGATCAAATAATAAGCCATCTTTCACCTCCTGCAAACATGCCATAGACCTGTCTAAATGGCTGAGCTGTTAAGTTACGAGTCAAGCAACAATAAGCAAGGAAACAGATTTCCCTACCGAATCCCAGTTGCACAAGGTATTCTTGATTCTTTAGTGTGAACTGGGCCTACAGAAGAAAAAGAGAACATTTTCATGTGTTCTACTTTCTTCTTGTGTAGATTTTTGCTATCAGCCAACAAAAGCCTTGACATTTTCCCATCTCATTTTTCTCTACTGTAGCTCTCTTTATGTAATTTCTAAAGAGAAGAAGAAACTAGAAATAAAATTGCGCCTCAAGCTAGGTTTGTTATTTGGACCTTTTTTCTTACCCTTTTCCAGAAAGGCTTAAAAGGAATTACTGATGCCTTTGTTTATAAACCTCACCTTACTCTGAAATAATTGGCCTAGATCAAAAGAAGTAGAGGGGTAGGTGCAGAGTGATCAGCTGATAACCATTTCTCTTTCATTTACCCAACAGAGTAGCTTTCACATTACAGAGATCACAAGAGAGGTTTATTTCCTCCTGATTGGCAGCCAGCTCCATTTTGGTGGGAAGGTGGGAGGGGAGTGGAAATCAATGAAAAGAGCTGTCTGTTTGCTCTCAGGAATGGAGTGGAGTCTAGTGGGGAGGGGGGTGGAGAAGGGATATTTGTTTTTCTTTAAGTGGTTATAATTAAAGCCTTCCACCCAATTGTTCTGTGAACCAGAAAAAGGTATTTGTGAAGTTCCATGTGTTTTTAAGAACGTTGCAGAGGAGACTTGCAGCCCTCTGGAGAAAAACTTGCTCTCCAGTGGCACCTGGTGGCAAGTGAACCAACCTGCAACATGGATACGCTGTTTTACGATCAAACCACCTCGCTGTCTCCTTTTTACTCCCTATCAATCTCCCATCCTAAAACTGCAGGAAATTCCTGAAAGATCATGTCAGCTGGTGAATGCCTGTATAGCAGCCACTGAGTAGTACACTACATATCCCCACACACGTGTTCTAGAGTTGTATATTAAAGAGAGTTAGCAGTATTGGTTTTTTAAATTGCATAGTTTGTGAAATTTTTAAGGCCATTCATTCAATAAAGCAGTAATGTGGGGCTTTACATTCTTATTTTCCAGGTGGAAACAAGTTGACCAACCAGCATTTTCGCCTGAATTGGGCATGGATCTCCTTTGAAAAGGAATATTATTTGATCAACGAAGATTCCAAATTTCTAGATGTTGTTCTTAAACGAAGAGGATACTTGGGAGAAACTTCATTTATAAGTAAGTTTAATTTTCACTTCATATAGGTTTATGATTTTTCTATAGTAATTAAACTACAATGTTGAAATTTAAAGATCTTGTAACTGCTAAAAAATCTTACCAATAGATTTGTGTCAAGCTGCATACCTCATCCAGGCTTCTACCCTAAGTGTGGCCTTTCTCTGGTGTAAAATAATTTTCCAAAATCAGAAGTAATTACTGGTAAGTTCCAAAGTAAAATCAAATGTCACTAGGTTGGAATAAGTTTAAGTGAATCTTTAATTTATCCCTAAGATCTAAGACATCAGTATAAAATATATATGAGGGCTACTTTAACAAATAAACAGAAATTATTGAGTGATTTGTTAGGCATCAAAGTGTAACTCACTGTGTCATATTTGAAGGCTCCGTAGCTCACTGGAAGTTCCTTGAACCCCGGTGCATTATGTACAAGATTTACGCTGTGATTTTTCTTTTTAGCCAACCTTAACATGTTAAACACCAGGCATTTTATTCTGCCATATTTCTTTAAATAAAACTGAGAGTCAACAGCAAATCAATAAAACCTTTCTTCAACTCTAATTCAGGTACACATTTTATATCATATAACCACGAAACAGAAAACTATAAAGCAGTAACATAGTTGGTGCGGCATATTGGTACGTTATGAAGTACCCCAAGCAACCATATTATTTTGAGTACCACATATTTAATAGTCTTTTAGGTCTAGAACTGATATGGGTAAAAAGAGCTTTGTTGAGTGAGATTGGGAACCATAATATGAATCTAGGAAAACAGGCAAAAATAAAAGGTTTGTCTCCGAAATGATTATTTGAAATCGTATTGGTTGGTCAACCGTTAAGCAGTGGATATCGGTCAACAGAGAGATCACCGTCTTGCACATGCTGATTTCTGAGCATATTTGGATGCTGGATGTTAATTATTCGTTACTATAAAAATAGTTGGTTTTTTTCTCACTTTAAAAAAGAGGCCCGTGTGCCTCACCATGCTGCCACAAGGCTGTGCTTCACACTGTTTCACCTTTTGGAGCAGTAGATGCTCTTCCTGCCCTCCCTTTTAAGACACACCCTCTGTACACAGTCTCTGCACATTCTTAAACTTACTTCAGCAAGCAGTTAGTCCTAACTGTGCTTCGTGCCTGAAAACATAGTGAATAAATCATGCTGAAAGTAAGTAAAAGCAGAGCACCTCAATGATTATTAATAGTATTTCCATCTATATGATTTTTGTCCCCACTCTTGATACGTTGATTTAGTTGCTAATTCACAACCACCTTTTGGATAACATTAAGAAAGTCAATTGACAGGGCTGGAGAGATGGCTCAGCTGTGAAGAGCACTGACTGCTCTTTCAGAGGACCCAAGTTCAATTCCCAGCACCCACATGGCAGCTAACAATTGTCTGTAACTCCAGTTCCAGGGGATCCGACGCCCTTTTCTGATCTCCATGGGCATTGCACGACACGGGTGCACCTACCTACATGTAGACATTACACTCGTACTCATAAAATAAAAATAATAAATAAAATATTAAAAAAGAAAGTTAAGGATTGGAAAATAATAACATTTTAGACTGTCTTTGAAAATTTTTCTCCCCACTGTTTCTTTGCTTCTTAAGCTGAAGCTGAAGTATCAAACAAGAGGTCCTTTTGCCTAAGTTAATTTGTTTTGACCAACTATTATTTCCTATGAATGTGACTGTACCAGCAGTTGCATGAAGATTCTATAACTTTACTTGGTTAACCTTACATGGTTACTTACTAAACTGTGGTGGAAGGACATTATAGACTACTGTGTGTGGTCTACATCTGCCATCATTGAAGATGACTCTGAAATTTTTACCAGGACTTGAGATGGAAGTCAAGATAAAATAAGAGGCAGCCTCACAAAGGTCTACCATGAGAAGTTTCCCATGGCTGATGCATAAAACCCCCCACTTCCACTTACGATCTTTTAGAATGCATTCTGTATAGCTAAGACAGCACATCAGCACATCATGTAAAAAGTCAGACTATCTCTTGAGTACATAGTAAATCATAAATTATATGAAGTTTATAAATATATTTTCACAAAGATGATTGTTCATCTTGTAACCCTGCATTGCATTTTGCATTGCGGTGACAGGATTCCTGACAGAAACAACTTAAGGGAGGAGAGGATTATTTGGGCTCACAACTGTAGAAGGTTGCAGGCTGCCAAGGCAGGGAAGAAATGGAGGCAGGAGTAGCCTTGGCTGTGCCAGCAAAAGGGCGAGACGGAGATGTTCAGAGCTAGCCTGGCACCAGGAGCAGAAGTGACCTTCAAAGGCCTGCCTCTAACATCCCACTTCTGCCAGCCAGGCGCCATAGCCTTCAAAATAGCGCCACAACGTACACGCGCACACACACACACACACACACACACACAAATGCAGGTTCTGAGCCTGGCTTATATCACTTCCCACAATGCTTTGCAGTTCTATCCATTGTCCTGTAAATATCAGGATTTCCTTTTTTATGACTGAACGAAATTCCATTGTCTATGCACCACATTTTCTTTATGCATTCCTCTGTTAATGGTCATCCAAGCTCGTTCTAGTTCTTAGCTACTGTGAATACTGAAGCAATAAACAGATGTGCATGCATCTTTGTGGTATATAACAGATCACAAAGATTTTATTGCTAGTACTTATTAAATATTTACTGATGGCAAAATATCTCCTTAAGTCCATTAAACATTTAGTGATCTCTCCCTCTCTTTCTCCCCCCCCCCCCACCCCACAGCAACCCTTCATTCCCTCACTCCCCAAGACCTTGAGTCCACTATGGTGTTTCATTAGGCAATGGCCTAGGAAATAGAAATAATTGTTAATGCCTGTTGAGCTCTTACTGTGCGCCAGGCCTGGTCCCCGAGTTTAACCCCACAAGAAAAGTACCTTTATGTCTCCCACTTTATGGGTGAGGAAAGAGAGATGATGTGATATTTCCAAACAGTCAAAGCTAGTAAAGCCAAAGCTGAGATTTGGCACCAGGACCCATACTGCTAGCCACTTTGCCTTAGTGTGTGTTAAATCTGAGAGAGGTTAATAGAATATAACTCATTTGCAGCCCCACTGCTATATCTGAGAAAGGCTATAAAATCCATTCTCTCAGCCCAAGGGTACCTTGCTTTAACCCTGTGCAACTTTCCCATATAAGAGAAGAGGATGTGAAAGGAGTTTCATTTAATAACCAAAGTGAAAAACTGTGGGTGTTTTCAGTAGCAGCACTGGATTTGGTGTTACAAACCTGTGTCATGGGGGGATGAGTTCACTGTCCTGTGGTGAACTTGATACTTAAAGTAGAAGATATTCCGTGTATTATAAGCATTCCTTTTTGGTTTCAGCTGCCCTTAGTCTCCAGGAAAGAACACACTGCTGATAAAAGGAAACAGACCACACAGCTGATAGGCGGTAGCTGGCAGAGGCGACTAGCAGGGGTTGGATTATGCCCCTAGGGATGGATGGGTCAGTGAGCAGAGCCTTCAGCCTCACAGAATGACTCCTTTCATCATCACGGGGTGGTGACTGTGGCGGATTCAGCAGGTGTTGACAGCTACTCCGTGTGCTCTAGGAACAGAGTGCTAACAGGAAGTCTGCAGCATTCAAGCTGATGCGGGTGCTTTGATTGCTGTTCTGTGCACTTTATCCTCTTCCGTTAAATAAACCCAGATCTATCTTCTTCTAGAGAAGAAGCACATGGAGCAATATTTATCTGCCTAGTGTTTTTCTGAGGGCTATAGGAAAAAATTTTTTAACAAAACCTAATTTACTTTCATCTTCACTTTAAGATTAAACTAAGAGTTCAATATAATATAACTAATATATTCAGATATCTTCAATTTAATCTTGCATAAGCACTCCAAGGCAAATTTAACAAGTAGGATGTAGCCTAGCACACAACACTTACTCTATGATTGTTTGTGATTGACTGTATCATGTTTGATCAGGAGTCATTTCGTTTGAAGAACTAAATGAATTTTCCAAAAATATGATAATTTCTTCAATTAGATGAGGAATATTACAAATAAGTTATTTTTAACATCTGTCATAACACTCCCCCCACCCTAAAGTTTGCTTGCTTGCTTGTTTGAAATAGGGTCTCACTCCATAGCCTAGGCTGGACTAGAGTTCACTGTGTAGCACAGGCTGACTTTGAACTCATCAAAGTCTTTGTGAGTTACCACACCTGGCATAGAGACCCTAATTTTCTTTTTCAATACCAGAGGCTGAACCTAGACCCTCATGTATGCTAGGCAAGGGCTCTACCATTGAACTGTATCTTACCTATATCTGAAAATTGCTACCTTGATTCATTAAGAGGTCTTTAAGGCTATACAAGTTCGAGTACAATTGCTTTTTTTTTTTGAGACAAGGTCTCCCTGTAGCCATAGCTGGCCTGGAACTTGCTTTTTTAAAAATATTTTATTTGTTATTTTTATTTTATGTGTATGAATTATTGCCTGCATGTATGTGAGTGCACCCTTGTCGTGCAATGTCGCGGAGGTCAGAAGAGAGCCTCAGATTCCCCTGGAACTGGAGTTAAGGACGGTTCATGGCCGCCATGTGGGTGCTGGGAATCGAACCCAAATCGAACCCGGGTCCCTTGCAAGAGCAGTTAGTGCTCTTAACCACTGAGCCATCTCTCCAACCCCAGAACTCACTTTGTAGACAGTCTGGTTTCTATCTCAATCCTCCAGAGTGATGGCATCATAACATTTGCCACCATGCCTGGCATACTATTGAAATTTTAGAGTTGTATTACAATGCATTTGTTCATTGCTTTTTGGATAATATATCCTCTGGTGTGACTGCCTGGCATCATTAAAATGCCAGTTCTCCTGTAGCATAGCTAGAGACTTCAGCCTTCCCACCCCGATGACACTGAGTGAACCATTGACGAAGCAATCATAGCCCTCATTCATGATAAGCATGTACGTTTGGCTTCCAGCCCTCTTCATGTAGTTTCAGGAAGTTTTGGGTGTGCCATGAAGAAAACATGGCGATCCCCATGCTGACAAACTGAATTCAAGTCTCTTCAGGGTCACGGTACCCTTAGAGGATTAGGGAATATTATGGTCTTTGGTATTCTGCTTGGCCGCTTAAGATTCTGATTATTAAAGGATTCTTTGACTTTCAGTTTTTTATTGCCTATGTTCTCTAGTTAGAAAATGTTCACTTTTATAATACTCAAGAACACATAGAACAATCAATGTGAAGAGTTTTAAGATTTATGATTTTTTTTTTTTTTTTTTTTGAGATAGGTTCTCACTATGTAGCCCCAGCTGGCCTGGAACTCACAAAGATCAGCCTGCCTTTGCTTCCTGAGTGCTGGGATTAAAGGTAGACACCACCACACCCAGCCTAAGATTTATGAACTTACATAAGCGAGGATATCATATAACAGGAATGTAAATTTGGTTAATTTGGCTTTGCTAAAGCTCTAATATTAGCTGAAATATATGAACAAGAGCAGAGTCATGAACTACCCGACATCTGCAGAACACTTCCGTCTCAGACCCAGGCTCCCCTTTCACCTCACAGAGCCAAAGCAGGATGCAAGATGCAACACAAGATGCAAACCATCTAGTCCTGAGGCTAGAAGCGAGCTTAGTGGTAAATCCCCTGCCTCGCCCATGGGAGGCCCTGGATTTGATCTCCAGCCATGAAAAAGAAAAGGAAAAGGGCAAATAACCCAGTGTAGAAACTAAGAAATGATACTGTGTCTTTTCTGAAGGTATCGGCACAAGAGACGGGACTGCAGAAAAAGACAGAGACTTCAGGGGCAAAGCACAGAAACAAGTGCAGTTCAACCCTGGCCAGACCAGGGCCTCCTGGAGAGTGCGGATCCTTAGCGACGGGGAGCACGAGAAGTCGGAGACCTTCCAGGTGGTTCTGTCTGAGCCGGTGCTGGCTACCCTGGAGTTTCCCACGGTGACCACGGTGGAGATCATCGACCCGGGTGATGGTGAGAGCAGTTGTCAACTCCTTCAAGTCACTGCTGCTGGGCTTTCAGGACAAAGTAGCTTTTAGAAGAGTTTACAATCAGTATTTGGACTTTCTATTCTGAGAATTTCCTAGGTCGGTGGTTCAGGATTCTTAGAGATGTTGGTGAAAAGAGGGAAATCTAGAAGTAATGAAAGAAAGCTACATTTCTCCAGTGAACGAACTGCACAAGATTAAACCATGTCCTTTCTGGCACCATCATCCTGTCATCCTGTCCTCAGAGCAGTATTGTTCCTCCCACTTTTCTGGAATCAGTTCATCAGTTTGAAAGTCTTTTAGATGTCTTAAAATACCCTGCAAGCAAATGGTTTGAGCCAGACCATTTAGGGCTGAATTTGTTCCTCATGCTGCATTTAATTATCTGAGTTCCCTGCATGTACTCACCAGTCCCCGTTTTCCCTTGGTAGCATATTTCCGCCTTTGGTGTATGATACCCACCACACCCACCTCCCCACCCCTGTGGTAATGGTGTCCTGAGTCATTGCTCTTAATTTCTGTTAGATTGTATTTTCTTGTCATTGCACACCCTTGGCTGACACTGGTAAAAATAAGTCTTAACGCTTTTGTGTGTAATTTGACCATTTTCCTCCCGTTGTCAAAGTTCTATAATCCTGTCTTGAAGAGTAGCTAGGGGAGGGGAACGAATGGCTGTTTTGAGGACTGGCATTTGTACAGACTCAGAGACTTCTAAAGCTGAAATCCTGTCAAAAGTTGGACATGACTTTTCTTTTAAACTACCAGTCTACTTAATTTTGTCAGTCAGAAAATTCTTAAAGATACAATCTGCTGAGTACATACAATGGAGACACAAGTGCAGATCCTTATATTAAAAGGCTGTGCATAATTCAAAAGCATGGATCAGAGACATGAACTTTGACATCATGTGCTTAACTAAATATCTCCGTCTTCAGTTAAATATGAAATTCTGTTAATTTCCATTAAAGAACATTTCACATTTAATTTTATCTGCATTAACTATGGATAAATATTAAACTTTCTTCTAGCCCTGAGCTTTGTGGCTGCAGCTCATTAATAAAGCTTTTCTCTTTTAAACAGGCCCTTGAAAGCTTTAATACATTTAAGCTGCTCCATTAGTTTAAGCTGGAAGCTATTTTTCAAGATTTTATTTGCTATTTGGTAAAATTGCTAACATTTACTTTAAGAATAAGACACTTTAAACTTACTTTCACATTCCTTACTCTAAGGTCAGAGTGCCACTCTCTACCAGTGGCATAGTTGACGAGTGCGTTTGAAAGTGGGTTTCAAAGATATACACACACGCACATGCACACACATGCTCACACAGATATATGCACACTCACACATACACATTCTTACATATACACACACTCGCACATACATACACATACACACAGGCATACTCCTACACATTCACACACTCACACACATGCTTCAGAAACATACATGCACAGATACACCCCCACACTCACACACATATACGCATACATACATGCACACGCACACATACACACACATATACACACATAATCCCTTTCTTCATCTAGCCTATACTAAGTAGAACTTTTCCATAATTTCATTTCATGTAATGATTTTCTAAGTTGTCTTAGAGTTGTCTTAGAATTATCTAGATCAAGTTCAGCCATATTCATTCTAAACTATGATTGTCTTTTGATAACTGGCAAGTGTTCCATAATGCCTTGTATGTTCTGTGTCTTACTGAAGACCATTGGCTTCCAAATTTTGAGGCTTAGATTTGATTTCAGCTCTACTATTATGAGTTGTATGACCGAATGGCAATTAATTTTTGTTTAGTTTCCCACTGTAAAAATATTACATGTTGAAGCATTCCCGTGAATGTGTTCTATAAAACATAAAGCAGGATAAAAATGTTGCCATTTCTTACCAAAATTTTAATGCTATATTTCATTATAAGAAATTAAATAACCTTTCTTATAAAAAGGATCACTCTTCAATTCTAAGAACATTTTCTTTCTGTACTTTTTCTTCCTCCCCTTTAGACACAATGCTCTTAAGCCCATAAGCTCTCCCTCCACATATGCTAAGATATGCCACAAGCTTTTCTTTCTCTTTCTCTCTCTCTCTCACACTCACATACACACAGAAGCCTATGCATACATTACCCTGAATTCTCATAAATTCATAGCTATACTATTACAGTTCTCTCTGTTCATTTATTTTTTTTTAATTGAATAGTTGTGATTTAGGTAAAGATGTTAAATGATTGTTTATTTTAGTCCATACATTAGCAGCTCTATCCACTTGAAAACACCCTCCATTGCTTACTTACTTAATGTGAGGTAATCCTCAGAGGCCACTTGGATAATTTCTACCTCCTCCCATGCCTCCCCATGTCCATGGCCCTCTGGTTGGGATCAGTAGAGTTGACCTGCCACCCCCACCACCAAGAACATGTCCAGTGGTCATGTGCCTGCAGCATCTGTGCAGGTGCGGTCTTGAGTGCAGACATCAGTAAGGGTGCCCCAGGACTCTCCTGAGAATTTGGGAATGGTCATGAACACAATAATCATAATTATCCAAGCTGATACCTACCCTCCCAAGCAGGAAGGGACTATCCAGAGGCAGATCCACCACCAGAAGACACTTGAGAAGTTCACCTTTGGGTCTAGAGTAGATATATTTTGTTGCATAGAAGTGTAGAATCGAAAGGGGGTTTGGGTATTATTCAGTAAGCTACCACAGAGAGAAGGAATATACCATCCTGCAGTGAATGGACAAAACATCAGTCTCCTAGGCTAATAGGGCCACAACCTACTGAATATGCAGTTGAGTTCAACTTCCTTAAACTTGAAGCCTGCAGTTCAAAGAGAAAAATTAAAATAAGGAGAGAGCAGATTACAGAACAGTGATAGTCACCTCTCTGTACAGCTTCCCGTGCGGCCCCTGGGTTGCTCAAGTGGGAAGTCAGCCACTGGGTGATTTCTATGGCAAAGGTCCATCTTTCTCTATTCTGTTGCTGACCTTTCTATTCTGAGTTTGAGTCTACAATCTCATGCCTTTTTATATGCTATGGAAAGTTCCAGGTGGGGAGAGAGAGGTTTAAACGCCAACAACACATAAAAAGCCACCTGGTAGTCTCTGCAGAAGCCAGCCATGTTCGGGCTGTTTTGATTTTCTCTGACACTGGCAGAAATGGGCTGGATTGCTCTTTGTGTGAAGGAGAAGCACTCTGGAATTGTGTCCAGCGGCAGCAAATGTCTTGCACCAGGTGCTCCACAACTGCTGGACTGAACCGCCAGTGCAAATCATCACTGGAGATGTCCAGGGGGTCACAAAAGACTGAGAACGAATTTCAGGTCACACTACTCCCCTATACTTTATTCTAACCCAATCCCCAGAAGTCCAAAAGAATTATTCCATAGGCTGGATAAAGTGGCATCATAACACAAATCTCCCTTCTGCTGGGTTCCTTCTATGAACCAGATACCACGCTGAGCTCTTGGCAACTTTATATGGTTTCAAACTAACAGTTGTAATTTATATATCAGTTTGCCACTCACATCACATGACTCAAGGAATTTACTTCCTCAAAGCCCCTCAGCCAATAAATATTAGAGGTAATATTTAAGAAAGAAAAGTAAAGATATATGTGTGTGTATATCTTCTGCCTATTAGTTCCCTCTTTTCCTTTGAGTTATGCAGTTTTCATCATTTCACATGACCAGAAAGGAAGTAATAGCTCAAATCACACTTAACGTGCTTTGCCAGTGCCACAGAGTTTCAATTATTCTTCCATGTAACAACAAAGTACCAGCTTGACTTCTGATTCTATTGTTTTCACTTTCTGTAGAAAACCTGGAGTATATTAGCACAGAGAATAAAACCAAATGTTCTAAGAGGATAACCAAGACCACTTTAGCCCTTGCATAATCCACATGTGAGTTCAAATAATGTTTAATGAGCATCCGCTGCAGCTGGGACGTCTTCTGAGCAGGCAGGCGCTGAAGGGCGGGCATGATTACACTACGCTAAATTGGGTTACGACATAATATTAATTTTTTAAAGCATATTTTCCTAAAGGAGTATAAAAATTCACATATTTAAAAATATTTTATTTATTTTATTTTATGTATATGAGTGTTTTGTCTGCATGTATGAAAGTGTACAACATGCATGCCCGCAGAGATAGAAGAGGGCAGCGATCCCCCAGAAGTGGAGATGGTTGTTAGCTGCCATGTAGGTGCTGGGAATTAAATCTGGTTCCTCTGCAAGAGCAGCCAGTCCGCTTAACTTCTGAGACATCTGTCTAGCCCCTCCACTTTATTTTTTGAGACAAGGTCTCTCACTGAACCTGAAACTCTGACTGGACAGTGAGTCCCGGTGATCCTCCTGTCTCCACCTCCTCAGTACCAAGATCACTGCCACTGGCTTTTAAAGTGGATCTGTACTGTGGCACTTTACTGAGCAATCTCCCCAGCTCCTAAAACATTTTTAATCATGAAAAACTTCCTGAAAGTTTCTATACTCACAAAACAAGGACATTTCATCATACTAAGATTCCACATGCCCTTGACTCCTAAGTCTGTATTTCCATTTGACCTCCTCACTGAAATCCAAGATTACAGGCCCAAAAGGCAGCTTAGATATTCCCACTTGGCTAGTTAAAGAACATCTCAATTTTAGTATATCCAAAATGTAATTCCAAGTTTTCCCAAAAACCTGCTCCTTCTGTAGTGTCCCCCACCTTTGTAAACGGCAGCTTCATCGGGTCTTTGGTCTTCACAACACTTGGCTTATCCCCGATTCCTCAGTTTTCTTCTCTACCACTTCTAATCCATTAGAAATCTCTTTGGTTCTTCCTTTATGATATATCCATCCCACAGCTGTGCTATATCAACTCTGTTGTTACCTCCTGGTCTTATCTTCTGGGATCTCCTGCCTGGAGGTTATAAAATCTCTTAACCACGATCTTTGCTTCAGTCCTTCCTGCCTAGTGTCAATCACACAGTAGCCAAAGCTGAAATTCTTAAAATACGTCAGATTATTACACCACACCAATGTCCATTGCCTTCTCACGAATTCACTTGGTGTGACTATGTGTACAAACAGACATGACCAGAAAACATTAAAAGCTGTTCCATTCTCCACAAAAAAACCAGGAAGCCAAAGTACAACCCAATAGCAGAAGCCCAGAATGGTTAGGACTTCATCTGACAACTTTCCTAACTTTAGTCCTCCCTTCTAACTTTGGACCTCCCTGAAAAATCCAAATATGCACCCTCAAACAGTCCTATAGGATGTCCTGCTTCTTGCTTACATGTTACAGCTTTCCTATGCCACAGCCTGCAGTTGGGCACACCTGAGCCTGCCTTCTTTCTCATTATGACATGTCCCCAGCCCTTCACTTGTGTTCAGACAGACTCAAAGACAGGCATCATAAAGTAGCTTAATGATATAGTGCTTGCCTACCATATACAGAGCACTGGGAAAGAGCAGGGGAAGGAGGAAGGGGAGGGGAGGGGAGAAGAGGGGAGGGGAGGAGAAGGGAAGGCCATCAACAGCAATAAGGGTGAAGGTGGCTGACTTCGTCGCTATAATAAATAAGCTGTAACTGACATTTGTTTATTCTCATCCTGTTGGACGGGATTTGTTTATTTCCATATCTTTTTTTGTTAAGATTTTCTTTATTTTTATTTTATGTGTATGAGTGTTTTGCCTGCATGTGTGTAAGTGCACCACTTGGGTACCTGGTGCTTGCCAAGGCCAGAAGAGGGCATTGGATCCCCTGGAACTGGAGTTAAGGATGGGTGTTGGCTACTATGTTTGTGTTGGGAACCAAACCCAGATCTTCTGGAAGAATAGTAAACACTCTTAACCTCTGAACCCTCCAGTCCCCTATTTCCACACCTTAGTCAGAGCAAAAGCCAAAGTCCTTCCAACATTGCTGAAGGCTCCACATAATCTACACACCCATCCCGTGAGACCTCTTGAGCTCCACGTCTGGCTCTCTCCACACTGGCCTCTGTCTGTTCATTGACCACATTCTTTTCACAGGTTACCCCTCTTTCTGGAATTTTCTGTTCTTTGCTTGTACATCTCATTACACCTTCGGAACTCAGCTCAACTGTGCCAGAAACACTTTCTGTGAAAGTCCGGAAGATCACCCTACCAAGCTTATTCCCAGCAACTGAAAGCATACTTTCTTTTCTGCCTGTCACGTCACCCCCAATATCGTGTGTATCTTCTTATGTACTTGGTTATTTCTTCCTCCTCTCCACCCTTCAATAGAATGAAGCTCTCTACAAGTACAGATTTCATTTACTTCTCTATCTGCTCAGTCTAGTACAGTGCCTGGCAAATTGAAGTCACTATCTGATAAATGGAGAATTGGTTATAAGACCTTATAGTCACAGATGTTTTAAATAGGAACATTCTAAAAATTAGTACGTCAGAGGGAATCTAAGAAGAAAACAACACACTCAAAATGAGTGATTTCAAAAGAACATAACCTCATGAACCTTTTACAAAAGTGAAGGTAAGCTCTAGACACCCCCAGGCATGTAAAATGCCCCAAGGAGCCAGAACTATCACCACCTCTGTGCCTAAGGGGCTGCAGACAGCCCTGGACACTTGAGGGTTACTGGAGAAATGAACTCCAGCACTCACCAGGCCCTTGCCCTACAGGCCCTGTCCTGTAGTCCTCTTTGGCTGACCTGTCAGAAACCTCAGCACCAGGGAAACATCTGCAGAGGTGCCTTTCAGTCAGCCCCTCAGCCTCAGGGAAGGATGGGCCAAGGACCTCAACGGCTGTCTGGCGTCTTTATAACTACCAGAAGAATTGCGCCTACTGTTTCAAAGATAATCATGAAGCATTTTTCTATGTAGAAATGAGACTTTCAGAGAAACAGACCTCCAAAAGAATACCAGAATACCTGTTAAGGTTTCATAAGATCAAACTATTGAACCGAATGGTTGTTAAAGTTTTTACACAGTAGATGTATCTTTAGCAATTTTACTATGCTATTTTTATTACTTAGTGTACCTCTCAACTATATTACAAATGAGTCATTGAGACATAATTTTATACAAACAAAATTTGTATATCACAAGTTGTTATCCTTCTAGGAAATGAAAAATACTGCAGAAGTGTTCCTTATAGTAATAAAGACTTCTATAAATTCTGAAGGAACCATTGTTTTGAAATATGTTGAACAATGTATTGTTATGTTTTTAATCATGAATCACCCCAAAAGCATGTTCTTTGGATAAAAATAATAGCAGAGTAGACATTACGAGATCTGAGTTCTAATCCTGATTGACTAATGAATGTGCTTGAGAACTAAGTTCAATCGTATGAGCCTGAGGTCCCCACCTGTAAAGTAATAGGGCCCGAGGACATCCCAGGTCACCTCCACCTTTCAGGTTATAGGAAGAGAAGGTGTTACTCTGTGGCAAGAGAATACAGTTAGGTTTCAAAGAACCATGTCAGCACTACTTACTGAGAAGAAAGCAGTAACTCCTGACACAGGCTATGTTGGGTTTTGAGTCTAGATTTAAATATTCACCAACCCAGCGCCTTCACACTGTATCTGCGTCTTTCCACTTTCCCCCATCCTTCCCGCTTGCACCATGTTACTGTAAAAGAATACACAAAGGGGCTGGACATGGTGGCACAGGCCTTTAATCCCAGCACTTGGGAGGCAGAGGCAGGTGGGTCTCTGTGAGTTCAAGGCCAGGCTGGTCTACATAGTGAGTTCCAGGGCAGCTGGGGCTACAAGGAGACCCTGCTCAAAAAGACCAAAAAGATAAAGAATACACAAAAGAAAAAAAACATCAATTATTGGGGAAATGTTAAGTTCTTGAAGATGGTTTCAGAGATAAGAAGCTCAGACAAAGCTCATAAGGACATTGGTTGTGTTTTCTCTTTAGAATCCACTGTATTCATTCCCCAATCTGAATACTCCATTGAGGAAGATGTGGGTGAGCTGTTCATTCCCATCAGGAGGAGTGGAGATGTCAGCCAGGAGCTGATGGTGATCTGTTATACCCAACAAGGTAACTCCACTGGCAAGCAAACTCAAATAGCTTCCAACATACCCACCGGCCTCTTTTCACCTGGTGGACCATGGAGGGCTGAAATTGGTTACAAGGCTTTTCATAGATACAAAATGCATTCATTCAGAAATTTGCTGTGGTATTGCATCTCTAAGGGCTTCTTTGAGTAAGTCTAGCAGGAATCTACTGTTACTGGCCTCAAGTAGTGACCGCTTAAAGTAACTCTCAAACTTTTCTCAGATTGCAGGGAACCAAAGTGCTCTCAAACCTTTCATGTTAAATGGGGTTATTTATTGTTTCGGGGGAGGCCTCATCAGTGCAGGCCTATAATTCTAGTGCTCAGGAGGTAGATTCAGAAGTAGGAAGATAGTGTGTTCAAGCCTGGGCTGCAGATTCTATCTCAAAATATCAAGGCCTGGCTTGTAGCCTGGTGGCAGAACACACACTACAAGCCAAAGGCCTTGCATTTGATTCTCATCACAAGAAAAAGAGAAAGAAAAAGGAAGCGGCAAAGCCACGGATATTTGAAAAAGAGAAACTAATTTAAAGCTGGTTTGACTGTTAATGGCATAGTCCTAATAGTATTATGTTAGGAATTAGGAAAAAGATAAACTAGATTCAAATATCATGAGATGATAAACAGAAAAAAAATGCACGGCTGAATCAAAACCCCAAATTGATATTGCCAAGACTTTCAGGTCATTGTAGAAGTTCATGAAACAGAAGATCTAAATTCCTCTAAAATTTTCCTAACCATAACATTGTTAGAATATATAAGAAAGTGCATGTTAATTGTTAAGTAATCATGTGACTATGGATGTATGCACATTTCCATCAGCAAGCAATAGATTTCCTTTATGCGTATGATTTTTGCATGACTAATGCTGAAATGATCAGGATAATTAATCCTACCTATTGTTACTTGCTGAGTTCTCTGGAGAGATTCATGGATTTAGGACAGTGATCACATGCCACATTTTCTTGAATTCCTTCAAGGATTCCATGTGCGTTTAACTCAGTTTAAACAATGTTCTCAACTTTAAAAGGGTGTTTACAATTTTAAGAATCATTTAATAATCATCACAAACAAATTTCACAAATACTATTTTGCTCATGAGTATCCGATGAAAGGTAGATGTATCTAATACTAAATTAAGATTAATATACGTCATTAATATGCTGAAAAATTTTCTAGAAAACCAATAGATTTACTAAGAATGGAAAAGAAAAAGTCACATAAAGCTGTTGGTGTCTGGGCAAGCTCTCATTAAAATTTCCATTACTATGTATGTGATCTGGAAAGTTGAAGAATGACTCAAAGCAGACTCAGGATCTGCCTTGGGACCTGGGTCCCAGAGCAACATCTCGTCTCCTAGTGTGAAAGCCGCCAGAGCTGTTGATGGGGTGAATCACAGAAAGAACTGGGCCCTTGGCCTGGATACAGGGAACATTCAAATAGTGCCAGCAATTATTTTGCCCTGTTGTACTGATCTAAAAGTCAGTTGACAGGAAAAACAAATACATTGAGAATTAAATATTCACCACATGTGAGGTCATTCTGAAGTAGAGCCTGATACTAGAACAGTCCATAGTTGCCACTGCAGTTCTGGGATGTTGCAATATAGTCATATAGTTCTGACTATTAAATATTGCATATGAAAATAATAGACTTTTGGAAATGACCTTTCAATGCATTCTTCATAAAAGCCTTTTGGACTCTTGGCCTCTAGGAACAGCTACGGGCACTGTGCCGACCTCGGTGCTGTCTTACTCCGATTACATCTCCAGGCCAGAGGACCACAGCAGCGTGGTCCACTTTGACAAAGATGAACGCGAGAAAATGTGTCGTGTGGTGGTTATCGACGACTCCTTGTACGAAGAGGAGGAGACATTCCAGGTCCTTCTGAGCATGCCCATGGGTGGGAGGCTCGGAACCGAGTTCCCAGGGACCGAAGTGACAATCCTTGCTGACAAGGATGATGGTGAGTTCTGATTTGCCTGACCTTACAGCAACACCAGGCACAGCCTTCTAGACAGAAATGATTTTTACCAAGAAGGCATGGGATAAACTCTCTATTCTTCCCTAAACGTAGGCAATGCCTATGTATAAGGTTAAATGTTGCTTCAGCATATTCACTTAATAATATGTTCCTTGCTTAAATAAAGTACAGGAATTTTATTTAAAATTGAATTACCCTTAGCCAATATTTTAAATGTCAGCCAAAATAAATTAAAAATTCACATTAAATTCCCACCTAGCCATTTGGTACCTCTCTTCTTGATTGATTTCTATTGGTGTAGATGGAACAAGGTTTAATTGGAAAGTAGAAAGTCTAACTGATGCCTACTTTAATCCAGTTTATTTTGCTGGCAAAGGTCTTTTTGGTAAGAACTATGACGGATACATGAGGAAAATAGGAAAGTACAGAAAGAAACCACTTCACACATATATCCCTAAGTCTTAGCAGGAAGGAAGAGACAAGACAGAAATTTAATGGCTTGAACTTGGATAGCTCATCCACACAGCAAAGTGGCATCAAGGCTTGAAGGGCATGAGCTTTTCTGCATCACTGCCTGGAAAGCATCTCATGGTGAGGGGCTGGAGGGACCACTGACAGCATCCTATCAAAGAGTATTTGTGAAATATTTTATGAAAAATTTAAATTTATTTTTATTTTATTTGTATCAGTGTGGTGCCTGCATGGAAATATACCCATGTTGTGCAGTGCCCTCAGAGGGGGCATTAGAGCCCCTGGAACTGGAGTTATGGATAGTCATTAGCCACCATGTGGGTGCTGGGAACCAAACCAGGATCCTCTGGAAAACAGCCAGTGCTTTAACTGCTGAGCCTTCTCTCCAGCCCCTTATTTTGTGAATTTTGGTACCACAGGTTTGAGGCTCAGGGGTAGCATGGAAACCCTGAACCAGCAATTTGTCAGGAATTCAGTGATTGGGGCCTCCTACTCGTTCTCTCTGGAGCCAGAGTGTGCTAATCTGCTTTCTCCCACCTGCCTTTTTCCTTTCCCCATCCCTGTGTGACCAACCACGCTAATTCAGACAGATGTTTTGTTCTTTTAAAAAAAGCTCTATTAGAAAATTCAAAAATTTAGAGCAAAATAAAAAAGTTATCACAAACAATAATGGTATTGTCTCAGTCAGAATATCCAACAAATCAGGGTCAAGGCAACCTAACACTGCAGACCCTATTGTTTGTCATTTCATGAGAAGTCCTTTTCTTTATATCTGTTGAAGTTACTTCAGTACCTTTCCTATGTACTTGATAAAAACTATATGAAGAAAAACATGGATTAAAAAATGTTCCTCCTCTCTGTTTTTTAGGTTAAAAGGATTATGGGGTTGCAGGGAGGCTAGAGAAATGGCTAAGAGGTTAAGAGCAGAGGACCCAGGTTCAGTTCCCAGCATCCATATGATGGCCAATAGCCATCTGTAATTCCAGTTCCAGGGGAGCCTACACCTTCTTCTGGCTTCCACAGGTTCACTTACACACATGCAGATAAAAAAACCCCGGGTTTTAATCCCTAGCACCCACATGGCAGATAACTGTCCTTAACTCCAAATCCAGGGGATCCAACAGCCTCTTCTGTCTTCTGCTGGCATTGTACGTCATGGATGTACTTTCCTACATGCAGGCAATACACGCATACACATAAAAATAAATAAATAAAATTTTTAATGATTATAGGGTATATGTTTACTACCCAAAACAGCAAATCCTCCTACAGATTTACAAATTACTTTGGCTTGATTTTTTTTAATCGTTCAACTTTCAGTGACATCCTACAGTGTAGAAAGCACCAAAGCAAGGTTTCCAGCACTTATGAAACAAGTCAGCCAGTGGATTCACTAGAAAACGGGTGACTAGACAGAAGCTAGCACAGTGTGGGGGGGGGAGTCTTTATTTTAAATCATGACTTTAGAAAGACAGTCTCTGCTTTCAGTCCACATTGTAAAATTCTCAACTGAAATAAATGTGGAAAAAGGAAACTTGCCCCTGTAACAGTTTTCTGGTTTTCTCAACAAATAGTTTTTGAGAATCCAATATTTACTCATTATATATAAGGGGGGGGAGGGTTGATGCCTTTCCAGCCCAGATTCAGGAAAATCCTTTCCAAAACCATGATTTCCTGGCTGGAATTCAGAAACAAAATTGGAAAGGAAGGAAAGTGAGTTCCTAGGACGAGATTGACAGGTGCACAGGCTGAACAGAAGGGCTGCAGCCATGGTCCTGAAAACTGGCATACTGCCACATTCTAGAGCTCAAATAAGCAGATCCAAGGAAAGCTTGGGAAAGGTAGGCAAGAAATTAATCTTAGAAGGCCTTGTGGGCAGACAAAAGAGTTGTGTTTCAGTTTGAAACAGAAATAGAGACCTACCAGAGGCCCTCAAGAATGGCAAAATCAAATTTGCATTTTAGAAGTCTCACTGTGCTCTGGCTACTATGTATGGAATAGATTGAAGAGTTTGGGGTCCCCGCCATGGGAGAGCACAGGTGACAGGGGACTTAACTGCAGAGACAAGCAGGCAGCCAAAAGATAATGCTGAGGAGGAGCATGCAAAGTATGCTGATGAATAGGCGTGAAAAAAGATGAACAGAAAAACTGAGGGCTGATGCTTTGGTTTCTAGCTATGATGCTCAGATTAAGAATTGTCATTCACTGGGGCTGGCAAGATGGCTCATGAGGTAAAGATGCTTGCCACCAAGCCTGATGACCTCGGTTCAACCCCTGGGACCCACATGATGGAAGAAGTGACTCCTGCCAGCTGTCACCACCTTTCTTCTTTTTAAAAATATTTTATTTATTATCTTTTTTTTTTAATCTTATGAGTATGAGTGTATTGTCTGCATGTGTCTAAGTGCACCTGTGTCATGCAATGCCCATAGAGGTCAGAAGATGGCATTGGATCCCCTGGAACTGGAGTTAAGGGCGGTTCGGTTCGTAGCCGCCATGTGGGTGCTGCGATTCAATCTGGGTCCTCTGCAAGAGCCGTCAGTGCTCTTAACTGCTGAGCCATCTCGCTGGTCCCTGTCACCGTCTTTCTAAAACCATGATTTCATTGAGACAGGGAGAATAAGAGTAGAATTGATTTGTGGACAAAGGATGAGTTTTTCCTCAAAATTTTGGGTGTTGAGTACCCAGGGGAAGGTATAGGCCTGGAGACCAGCTTTCTGCTTTACGGATTACTATGCTAGAGACTTTGTTACACGTTATCTGTATCGATAACAAAAGTCAGGTGGGAAAGTTAGGCTGAGAAAGACCTAGAAAATTGCTTAAGATGGCACAGCTGTAAAGTGCTGGAAATTTAGGTCTATTTAACTTGATTTGATGTGCTTATTATTAGGCCTTCCTACTCTCATCAAGGATATTAAAATACAAGCAAAGCTTCATGGTTTACCCGAAGGGAGAAAGTTGGCATAGAATCCAAAAAACAATGGGCTAAACTGGGCATGGTGGCTCAAAGCTTGAATCCCAGCACTCTGGAGGCAGAGGCAGGCAGATCTCTGTGAACGCCAGGCCAGCTAGGGATGCATAGTGAGACCCTGTCTCAAAAAAAGGCTAAGTGCAGACAATATTGGGGTGGACTGGGGGTAGGAATCTGGCTTCTGAGGGTGGCTAACTTCTTAGTCACTAGAACTTAGCAATTAGAGTAGGAAACCTACTCTGTGTACCCTGTGGCTATAT